TGTCAAAAAATGTTTACAGTGAATATTTTGAAGTTGAAAATTTATATCATTCGAATCTAACTTATATGAAAATACTGTACCTATAAAGTATAAACACTGTAGTCTATAATTTAGTTTTAGGTTGGATAAAAATTAAGTACACTAGCATTGTATAAAAAAATTAACTTTTAACTTTTAGTTATTGATGCATATTAAATTAACTTATCTGAGTTAAAAAAAAATCATTAACTTGCACTGCCTTGGGATTTTACCTCCTTGGGTACAAATTTTTTTTACCCACATTGGTTTTTTCATAGTGGCACTTCTAAGACGGAGACAACAAATGTCTGTATAACGGGTACTCATCTTGTATTGGAGGTTTACTTATAAACTTCTTTGTTGACTATTTTTTCGGTATGAAAATAGTTCAAATAATGTCTATTATGAGGGTATCATAAAGGAATAAATTTACTGTTGAAACGGGGCGTCCGAATGGACAACCCGTATCGTCAAATAAAAATACGATGGTTCATAGCGGTAATCAAATATATCTATTGCTATAGAAAATATATATTATATCGACAATATTGTGGATCAGTAAAGCGTCGATTTGTGCCGACCAGACTTATTTAAGTGAGTCGGCGCAATCGGTGGCGCTTGGGTGGTGGTCGGGCAACAGCCGGACCCTACTTTACAATGAGATAGGTTTAATAATATATTATGTATATTATACAACAATAAGTATTGGGCTCAATGAGTCTGTGTGTTTTATTATATTGGACTTCAAATAAAATGATGCATCACAGTCATTACAATAATATACATTTTTAATTTCCTAAGTATCTTTATATTTTGTTCTTAAATGCTTATTGAAACCAGACACTGATATATATATTTTAGCATCACAAACTTGGCAATTAAATAGGGTTCTTAATTAGGTAGGTGTGAGATGTTTCTAAAATCACTAAAAACTCTACATGTCTTTTAAGCTTATATCATATATTTTATTAATAAAAGAGAAATATTCTAATTAGGAATGAGGATTAACAAATAACAATATTGTATACTTATTACTTAATATTATTTCATAATAATAAAATAATATAATAATAATATAATATAATAATAATATAATTTATCACATAATAAAAGTATACTGTGATAATACTGATAAATATTTGTGAAGATAAGAGGTACGATTGATAAGAGCATAAGGCCGCCATCTTGCAGCCATTCGGCGTTTTCTGTCTCTAGACGCTTGTGACTGACTAGATTGTCGAGAGTGTCCGGTATTTATACCCTTTTCGACAATCTAGTCCATTGTTGATTGGTCCGCGAAATATGTTTTAGACGAGTGAAAATCACACCGTTGAACGGACATTCCTATCTATCATGTGTGATTTTCACTCGTCATATCGTGTCCTTTTTTCCAATCGTCTTTACTTGGTGGGTGTTTGTTCCGTAACATTGTAATGAAATAATTTATAATATAGTCATGACTTTTTAAAATTTTTTTAGGAAAAGCAGACGGCATCACAATTGAACGATGGACAAGAATATTGGGTGTCACATCATTAAATCAACAGAGATTGATTGAAGTTTTATTCATTTAGTGCATTTAACAAAAAAAAAAATTTTTGCTGATATTTAAATAATACTATTAGGTCAAATTTAACGGTTTTAGGCAAGGCCAGAACATTTCTTTTTTTTTTAAAAAGGTCTGGTTGCTATTACCTGGTCATCCGTGAAAATAATATATTATTGTTCTTATCAAAGATTTGAATGTTTCAACAGTGTATAAAATTGAAATCATCAAAAGAGTATAAAACTAAAATCTTAAGAAAATAATAACACATTATTACATATGAATAAAAAGAAAATAAATAGCATAAAAAAAATGTACTTTTATAAATAACCAATTTTTGTAATATGACATAGATGTACTACCTTTAAACGAATTCTAATAATTGTATTAATTTAAGGTATCATAATTTAATATAATAGTCACATTTTAAAATAACATAATACTTTCTTATTTATTTCATCAAATTAAATAGATAAAATTGCAACTAAATAACAAACTTGAATAATATAAACAAATGAATAACTATCTTAAAAAAAAGAAGAAAAACTTATGTACCTAATTTTACTGAATCAGTCTTTGATTTACAAATTATAAGCATATAATATGTGTTTACATAAGAGGATGAATAATATACAACAAAACTAGTTTTGTCAAAAATGTAACTTGGGTTCCTTTTAACAAATTCCCATTCATATTATTTTAATGGGGATATAAACTTGTAAATTTAACTTTTACATTTTATTAAATTAATGAATTATTATAATTTGTTTTCAGTAGGGTTAAGAGGGTGTCAGCGCAGTTTAATATTGCACTGAATTGGCCTATTATACAACTTAAAGTTAAGAACATTCTATTTGTCTATGCTGTTTAAATTTTTCTACTATATATGACCATTTTAAAAGTTTAATGTTTTATTTACAACTTGCATAACAATTGAACCATCATAAAAAGGAAAACTTGATAATGGTTCAATTGACTATCATAATATTAAACTTATCAACACTAAGATTAGCTCTGTTGTATACCAATTTGCTATGCTGCGTGTGGGTCGTAAGAGTTAGAAAAAAATTAATTATGAAGTTATTTATTTTCATTTCATTTACATTCATATACCTTTTTCTTAATGTTAAATACAATACATATTATTATTATGAAACAAATCTAGGATTATTCGCCGTGAGTACCTGCGTATTATGTTATGTGTTGAAAAAATTATATTATATAATATGCAATCGCTCAAATTATCAAAGTGCATAATGTAATAACTAATAACTAAAAATTTATATTTTTTAAAGTAATTCGGTGTACGTTATTACTAATTAATCTTACTTTAATTATTGTTTTGAGAAATTTTGAAACTTTAAATTTATTTTCATAGTAGTAAAATGTTTAATGTCATATGGCTTTAAAATTATTTTACGATTTAATTAACTAATTATAATAAGTAATTACTTTTTTATTTTGTTTTAGCGGTAGCAGTTTTTGTGCGATCAATACGACCAATATCGACCTACTACTATTATAGATATCCTATCAGCCTGCGTTTTTTTTAATATAAGTGGAACCATTATACAGGGTGTATCTTATGTCATTGTACGCGGGGTTTTTTGACGATTACGGAACGATAATATGGAATTTCGTTAAAACGAAAAAAGACGTGTTTCTTTATTTTTAACAAGCAATTTTTTTATAACAATTTCAACATTTTTAAACACGCAGGTGTACCAATAGCAAAATCAACTTTTTTTTTCAAATGGTAACCACTATATTTTTTAATGGATTCTGGAAAAGCATTTTTTTCTGAACATTTCGGTAGTCAAATCGTCAATTTTATTAACTATGGTCCTCCAAAGATTAGTAAAATATGCATTAATACTTTTAATTAAAATAATGGGTATAGGTTTAATTTACAAGCGCTAAACAATTTTTTCTCATAACTACCATTTAATACACTACAATAGTTGAATCAGTAATCTAATGACACCCTCAAAAAAAAAAATAAAAAATAAACACAATTGTATGTAAACATACTTCATTATTTTTATTTTAACATACGATCATAAAAATCAATATTATTATTTTAATTTATTATTATAATCGTAATTAATTACTTTACATTTTTTTCATCACAGTTACTTTTCTTACAATATCATAAATTTGAATTCTTAATTAGGTAGGTGGCTAAGGTAATAATGGTAAATTGGTAAATGGTATTCGATTGTTGACATTAATATGTGCAATGTTTTGTGGTGCTCTTTCCGTAGTGGTATAAAGTATAAACTTGATATTTTAACCATAGATGAACTTAGGAGTTGTAATTCATCCCTTTCCATCCTTTTTAGTTTTGGATATTAAAATAATAATATTGATTTTTATGATCGTATGTTAAAATAAAAATAATGAAGTATGTTTACCAATTTACCATTATTACCTTAGCCACCTACCTAATTAAGAATTCAAATTTATGATATTGTAAGAAAAGTAACTGTGATGAAAAAAATGTAAAGTAATTAATTACGATTATAATAATAAATTAAAATAATAATATTGATTTTTATGATCGTATGTTAAAATAAAAATAATGAAGTATGTTTACATACAATTGTGTTAGTTATTTTTTTTTTTTTTTTTTTTTAGGGTGTCATTAGATTACTGATTCAACTATTGTAGTGTATTAAATGGTAGTTATGAGAAAAAATTGTTTAGCGCTTGTAAATTAAACCTATACCCATTATTTTAATTAAAAGTATTAATGCATATTTTACTAATCTTTGGAGGACCATAGTTAATAAACTAGCGAACCAAAATTGACGATTTGACTACCAAAATGTTCAGAAAAAAATGCTTTTCCAGAATCCATTAAAAAATATAGTGGTTACCATTTGAAAAAAAAAAAGTTGATTTTGCTATTGGTACACCTGCGTGTTTAAAAATGTTGAAATTGTTATAAAAAAATTGCTTGTTAAAAATAAAGAAACACGTCTTTTTCGTTTTAACGAAATTCCATATTATCGTTCCGTAATCGTCAAAAAACCCCGCGTACAATGACATAAGGTACACCCTGTATAATTATATTTTGGTTATATACCACATCGGAGTGTATACGAAAGTATTGGAACTCCTCTTTATCATTCCCCACGTGGTCCATTGATTTATAATTTTATATAATTTAAATCTTTGGTGTTACTTCCACGACAGAGTGTATACAAAGTTGTATTGGAACTCTAAGCCAATTTGCCTGGTTAAATCTTTGATTTTAAGTACGGTATACTGTACTATTGATACAAACACCTCTTGTGTGTGTACTATAAGTATATTGTAAACTTTTAATAAATAATACTATTTCTGTATAATATATCTTTCATTACCATATTAATAAAAACACCGATTCATTAAAAACAAGTTTTTTTTTATTTTTAAAATAAAACAATTAATCATGTTCAATAACATTGACATGGAACAATGCGGTGGAACAAACGGTACGTCAAAACTTTCCCCACTTGGCGAGAGTGATAATATTATAGAAGTATCTCTTGCCAAAAAAAAAATATGTGGGCATATTCAAAAAGTAAGTCTTAAGAACAGGGTTAAGGATGTTGCCGATTACATTAGATTAAAATACCCATCTATAATAAACGAATCTGTTAAAATGTCTGATCCGAGAATAATAGATATTTGCAAAGAGGTATTTAAAACTAAAAATATCAAAAAACTAAGCAAGGACGTAGTAAAAGCATTGTCAGCGAGCAACTCAACGCTGTGTAAACTCATTAAAGGAACTAGAGAAAATAATATCCCTACAGACATAAACTGTTTAATACCTTACAAAAATGAGTTGGTACTACGTCCGTATCGAGCTGTAAATTAAATTTGTAGTCTGAAAAAAATTACGAAAAGTAAAATGAACATAATGCGTTTACTCCGTAAGAGTGAAAGGTCTCATCAAATAAACGAGGAAATCTCTAAATCTGTAAATTGTGGTGAAGGCGTACATACATTTTTGCCGGTACACATCAGTGAGTCTAACGTTGACAACAATTTAGATGTCTGTGACAGAGTAGTGGAAATCAGTCAACACTCAAACATAAGTTGTAAGTCAAATAAACTAGGATTCCACGACAATTACGAAAAATTGACGGTCAACAATTCAGGTAAGAATCCTTATGAAAATGAAAACATAACAGTGTTGACAAGCTGCAATAGAGAGTCTGATACAATTGACACATCCTCAAATGAAATACTGAAAAGGGATGTTAGGCGAAAACTAGATTTTAAAGTACACTGTGACACAGAGTCAGAGACTTCAAAGTGTACAGTGATAAAGCAAAGAAATGAAACTTTTGAGATTGATGATGGTGTATGCAAACTTGATTGGACCTCTGACGATTTGAACAATAGTTTCCTTAGATGTGGTGAAATTCAAACGATTGAAGAGACAAATGCTTCTTTGGTTGCTAACTGTTCTAATATTATCATTTCTACTCCAATAAGGTTAGAAGTAGACATTTCCAGGCAACAGGCATTTACACATTCACCGCAAGCCGTTAATTTTAGTTATCATAAAAGTTATGTTGACGGTAATAATTGTTCTCCTATGAAATCTATAGTGCTACCAAATGAGGCGGAGGTGATCGACGCTGTAACTCCAATAAAACTGCCTGGAACTATTGTCGCTTGCAGCACTCCTGAGGCAGATGCAAAAGCACTTCCCAAGAATTCTAAAAACATATTTCCTTTGACAATACGTGGTGATCTAGAAAATAAAAAAGAAAAAGATATAATTTTTCATATCTTAACACCATAGAGGGAACTTTTGAGTTATCTATTTGTGAATGGAATGAACTTGAAAAGTTGTCTAATGAACATGGTAGAATGTCCTTAGACCTTAGAAATATGTTAATTAGAGATAAGTTTGTAACCGTTAATAACTCTTGTGTTCTGTCCATAAAAAATGTTAATAAAAATAGCAGCGGTGAATTCACTAGCATTTATGGTTACTGCAGACACAATACTTGTAAAAGTTTTAAGTTTGATTTTGAAAAAAAAACTGAAAGTGCAGTTAAGGTATATGTACTTAGCAATCAAATAAACTATAGCCATGGTGGAAAATTAACAAACTTTCTTAGAGGACCGGAGCGAATGAGTTATCGAAAAGAGGCGGGTCACATAAAACCGTTGGCTTTGAGGCAAAAACATGTTATGAAATCTTCTCCTAGCAAAATAAAACGAGGGAACCTTCAACAAATAAGGTCAATTAGTGTGTATAACAGAGTGTCACACGAGACTTTGAGTAAGTTTGATTTCGATAGCGATGACAGAGTAGATATGGTACAAATGGCTTCTGTAAACTCGGAATTTGTGAAATACGTATCACACCCTCAAAGTCATAACTTTGAATGTTACATTTTCAGTAAAGAACAATTGATGGTTTTGAATAAACTAAAGCCAGTCACATTACATGTTGACGCGACGGGTACAGTCATAAGACCTACTACGTTAAAAAAAAAACAAGAAAAACGTTTATTGTACTATTACTAATAAAAGCAAACGATCACATGATGCCAGTTGCGGAATTCATAAGTACCGATCAATCGACAACAGCTATTTCCAGTTGGTTATATGCATTTAAACGGTTTGCAACAGAACACGGCTTTGACGTGTCAGATTTAATTGCGAATGTTACTAGTGATTTCTCTACGGCAATAATCAAATCGCTGGCACAGGCTTTTAATGGGTGCAAAGATGTCATTGACTACCTAGATCAATGTTATGATTACTTGTACGAAAATAAACAAATGAAATCAAAAATCATACTCAATTTGTGTTGCTGTCACTTGGTGAAAAACATTTCAGACGACGTGTTCAAGTACTATGGTGCAGTTGGCAAAAATAATAAAAACAAAGATCTTCACGTATCATTGTTGGTTTTGTAACACCAGCATTCGACCTGAAAATCGCAAATGATTTGGATAAATGGTTTAAAGCACTTTGCACTGTTATACTTTCACCTTACCAAAATGGCGATGTCCAGAAATCCGTCGACTACCTGCTTAAACTTAACAGTAGCGATATGTCGGTGTTGAATTCGAAAGAGTACAAAGATTTTGAAAACATTTTGTCCTTAAATTGTGATGGAACGCAGGTAGATGATCTGAAAACAAACCCATCATCAAAGGGAAAATATAAAGCTTCAAAGTTTTATGGTCGTTTTGCGAAAATGTCGAGAGACATAAAAGCATCATTTACATCAGACAGTAAAGGCGTTCCAAATGAGTTTCACAACGAAGAATATTTCAGCGACTTGATGGGATCTGTTGTACCCGTCATACCAATGTGGACTTGTCTTATGTTATATTCCAAAATAAAAGTCTGCCATAGACCAAATAATTCTGGTGCAGAATTATGGTTTCATTATCTCAAAGGGAACAGCCTACAAGCAAAAAGTATGAAATGTAGTCGCTTCATAAGGCTTACTAGAGACAGGATAGAAAGTGTCACCAAGGAAGTCCTGTGCGACATACCCAACACGCGTTGTGCCATTCCCAAAAAACAAAATGTCGATTGCAATATTGTTCGGAAAAACAAAAGAGTCATATCATTAGATACTGTCACAGATCTGAGCGACGATGAAGACGCTGAACAGTGGAGAGCTAGAAAAAATAAAAAAATAGGTTATTTTAAGCAAGGCAGCTTAATGGCAAATATGAAAAAATTAAAACCTATTCAAACTATAAACGAGAAAACAGAGACAGTAGTTGATTTAACTACGATTAGTGATGAAGAGAATCAAATAACAGAAAATAATATGGTCACCCCAAGAGCAGTAAAAACTAAAAACTGTAGAAACATTTACGACGCCTGGTAGTTACTGTTCACCTATAGATAAAACACAATTTAAAAATGATACTTACCCTAACAGACTAAAAAAAGATGTCAATTTTTATAGAAAAATGGTCAGAAACAATGACACCAAAGACGAAAAAAGTTACGTAGTAGGCATTTATAAACACGTAAAAAACACTACAGAATACACAGATATATTATTTTCAGATTTTGATACACTATCCGATTATCGGTCGGATGATCTTAACAAAATGTGGCTAAATAATTTTGTGATATCTATTATATTGGCTAGTTATTCTGTGAAATATAGCCAAAAGTCAAATACCCAAATATTCAGAGCAAATTTGGTTGATTCTATAATTGAAAACCAAAATTATAAAGGTAAAGTTTCTATAAAAGAAAATAGTTTTCTCATTATACCTTGGAATGTAGGAGAAATACATTGGATAATAGCATTTGTAGATTTTTGTAAAAAAGAATGTTACATATTGGATCCAATGGGACATCCGACCGATGAGCGTTTCAAGAAGTTGATTAGGGGACTTAAACTGTTCTGTTCGTATGGCGAAAATAAATGGTTTCCAAAATTGAATTTAAGTACCCATAAATTACAAAATGTTCCGCTACAAAAAGATTGGTACAACTGTGGAGTGTACATACTATATTATGCCATTACATTGATGAAAGGAGAATGTTTTAATAAGCTTTTCGAACCTATGGAATATAGGCAGTATCTCAAGACATATTTGTTGGAAAATTCTGATTTCATGAGAGACATCTGCTTATATTGTGGCCGGACTGGTAAGAGTCATAGAATAGTTTGTGGTAAAAAAGGTGTTGAATGGGTTGAGTGCACGGACTGCAACCGTTGGATGGTGATTGACTGTATTCCTGATGAGGATAAATTAGACACAACAGCACACTATGAACAGAGTGATTTTAAATGTCTTTTGTGCCAGGAAAAACATTAATTAAAAACTTAGAAAATAAAAGTAAAGCTATGATCAATTATTATAAAACAATAACACTAATAATTATTTTAGTCTCGAGTAGTTAAATACAAATATTAAGTGAGTACCTACCAATAGTAAGTATTTAAATAGTTTAGTAGTAATACCATACACCTAATTTAGTACTAGTTTAACTTGAATACTTTACAACACTAAGTTCCTCTTAGTTGGTGAGCAATAGTCAACAATAATAATTAATAGGTATAGTGAATTCATAATTGATGCAAATAACAAGATGTGTATAATGGACAGGAAAATATATTTTATTTTTTAATATATACCTATGAAACAAAATAACATTAATAGTTAAGATAGGTACCTACTAACATAATAAATCACTTGTGAGAAGCGTTGTTTTCTATAGGCCTACTGGGGATCATTTCAACGCAGAAAAAAAAATGAAACGAATCCATAGCATTACCTCTTGGGTGGATTTGGAAAATGCACTTCTATAATAGTACATTATACATTATAATTATAATACATTATAATATTACTTTACCTGTAACAATAACATTTAACACTAACTGACATTCCACACTTACAGTAGTTTCAACACACTGCAATTGATCTGAATACTTTTACTATACCTACAATAAGAACTCAGCAATAATAGCGGTGAACAAGTGACCCTAGGAAAAATGTCAGCAATAATTAGTGAAAACACGTATAGCCACAACAACTGTAAATTCGTAATACAAATATTGAGTATTTGAGTATTAATGATACGTAGCAATAAACTTTACAATAATAAAGTGGTAACACTGATTTCATAGCGTACGATAATTAGTTGACAATAGAGAACAAAAAGTTAGCAATAATCAATGAGAACCACTGAAATTTTCTTATCACAGATTGTCGATTATTGCTAATGTAATTTTCATTATAAAACATGAATACAATTTCAGTTGAATGCAATCGATTGCAAATTATCTAATAACAATACAAATGAAATAAAATTTCAATTATGAATACACAATATAAATAAAAAGTTAGTACGTTACATGTTATAGATTATTATTATACATTGTTATTATGATCTGACTATGAAATGGTGTTTAATATAAATCTGAATTAAATTAGTTGAAATTTATAAGCAAATCATAATGAAATAAAATCTCTTAACATATTATATTATTTTTATATTATCTTAAATATTATTATTAATTATTAATGTTTGACATTAGTTAAAAACTCACTATAAATTCACACTATAGTGAATTTGCATCCAGAGAGAACCACGTGGAGGTTGTCAAACTTTCTCTCCGTTCAGCCACAAAGGCTAGGTCCACAAAGGCCCGAGAGCCACATGCGCTAGGTCCACAAAGGCCCGGTCAACTCAAGGTCGGTCCACGAAGGCCCGGACCGAGGACAAAATCATACCAAAGTCAACCAGACTATCACCATCATCTAGAATCGATCGTCGGACGTCACCTAGAATATACTTACCACTTATTGAGTTACAGAACTTCCCTGTACACGATGTTCTTGGTGACGAATCGCCCGTAGTCATCGGCGTACATGCCGACTTTCACGGACTGTGCGTTTCTCACCCTAGAAAACGCCACGTACAGCTGCCCGTGCGTGAACGGGGGCGACGTCAGAAGCAAACCTACTCTGTCGAACGTCTGACCCTGCGACTTGTTGATGGTCATGGCGAACGACAACCTCACCGGGAACTGAACGCGCTTCAGTGGGACGGGCACGTCGTCCTCACCGCTGGAAATGAGCGGTATCTTGGGCAGGATGATGTCATCGTCCTGCGGGTCACCGCCCAAAATCCTCGCCTTGAAGTTGTGTTGCCGCAGTTGGGTTACCACCAACCTCGTACCGTTGCACAGTCGTCTCTTCGGATCGAGATTTCTGAGCAACATCACGATGCACCCCACCTTCAACTCGAGCCGGAACGGCGGCAGGCCGTCCGGTACCAAAGTGTTGAGGAACTCTGTTGGAAAATTAGCCACTTCGTCGGCTCCGTCCACCTCCGCGGTGTCAACGGCCAGGTAGGTCCTCGAATTACCGTCGACGCGCTCCAGCACGTCCGCGTTGATGCGTTTGACTCTTCGTTGGTGGGGCACACGACGACTCTCCGAGCAAATTCGTCGACGTTGGCCAACGACATTTGCTGCGGATACACGAAATCGATTAAATCGGTTCCGTCGCATACCATTTCCTCCGGGATTTGCACGGTGTCCGGAACGCCGTCGACCGCGGGCAGTTGGCCGTTGCCGAGCCGAAGCAACCAAGAAGCGAAGTCCGCGTCCTGTCCCGCGCGCATGTTCTGTACCAAATTGAAGCGCTCCATGACGTTCCAGAGACCGTGGTTTTTGATCGACGACATGAAGATCTCGGCTCTCGTTCCTTTCCGGATCACGGGCAATATCTGCCTGAAGTCGCCGGCGAACAGCATGGTTTTACCGCCGAACGGTAAATCCGAAGCCATGACGTACTTGAGCAGGCGGTCCACCACCGTCAGTTGCAGTCCCGGCGACATGGGGGCTCCGTCCCAGACGATGAGAGCCGCGTCGCGTATCCTCTGCGCTCGCTCGGACTGCAAGCTGATGGTGGACGTCGATTCTTCGGTCAGCGTGCCGAACGGAAGTCCGAACGTCGAGTGCACGGTCATGCCGCCGTCCATGAGCGACGCAGCGATCCCGGTGTACGCGACGCTCAACACTTGCCGCTGAAGCTGCTGAAGCGACCATATCAGGCATCCGTACAGGGTAGTCTTTCCGGTACCTCCTGGTCCGTCGACGAAGAAAGTTCGCGACACCACCACCTCGAGTGGGTTTTGGACGGCCGCCATCACGCGGTCGTACACCGTACGCTGTTCGGCGTTCAAGGTGTTCACTTGATCGGCCCACCGTACCGCCGCGTCTACTTCTCGGAACAGCGCATTGTCGTCTGCAGCGGTTCCAGTAGAAGGGGGTCGGCGAGGGGCAGATTGTAGTCGACCGAGGGTGACTTTCCGTGCCCTCGAAGCAGATCCTCGATGGCTGCCAGACACGCGGCCCTCGCGCGGTCGACGTCTTGGAGACGCCAGTTGAAGTCCTCCATCAGGTACTCTTCGTTCCTCTCGTACAACGCCAGCGCGTTTGACGGCTGGCAGAACACCAGTATAGTGACGAACAGATACCGCAGTTGCCGCGGCGTGTCCACCAACGCGGATTCATCCAAACAATTCCGCCACGCTAGGTCGTCTGCCAATAGTCCGAGTGCAATCGCAGCCGCCGTGTATGTTCCGTGAACGACCCCGTCCACCGTCCTTATGTCTTGAAAGGACTGCGGGCCTCTTCGGTTCAGAAGTAGCAATCTCAAGTGGAAACGGTCCCGGTCCATTGGGTTCACCACGTACATCCGAGCCAATGTAACGTTTGTCATCCGATTCACCCGCGGACGCCATTGTTTGACATTTTGCTGCCAGGTGTAATGCATCGGTATGTCTTGGTACAAGTACTGTCGAGCTACCGCGTTGGTCGCGTTGAGCTCAAAGAACTGCGTAAGTTTCGTGCGACCTACAGCTTCGTTCTGTAGCCGTAATTCTTCTTGGCCCGGCGGAAAATACACGTTCTGACGACCCTCCAGGTGAACGGGAAGCCTGACAACCGTGTGACTTTTGCCGTGCAATTTGTACGAAAACAATCGCCAGACGGCTTCTGGCGGGCTGACGTATCTCGAGTTGACGTACCTAAAAAGGAATATTTATCACTCGGTATAAGATAATACCGTTTGCTGTTGTATTATTATTATTATTAATTTATTTTTTGTTCTGTAGACGCATAGCGTTGCATCGCAATATAATATATTACAGTGTTTAATAATTTTAATTAATTTTGAAGTAAAGCGAATTGAAACGTTCAACCATACTAAGTTCTTTATTTTAACTGTTAGTGGACAGATAGACTAACGGTGTGTCATTATTAACATTGAAAAATATTAACGTTATAATTTTAATAATAATAATAATAATACCTAAACAACACATTAAATGTAAAGTATATAATACAGCTAG